ACCTCTCCTTCTCTGTTGATGAGCTCGGACGCCAATCTCTCATAGAAGCTGCAAAAACCGCCATGAGCAGCAAAATCATTGGACCGTAAGCAATGCTCCTTATGTGTTTTCCGCATTGACCCTTACCTTTCTTTTGCAGTGATTCCGACTTCTTTGCCGCGCTCTGCGTGGATGCTGCAGAAGCAGTTAAGGTTACTGATTCTAGCGGAAAGGTACGATCTCGGATATCTTCGTCTATCAAAAGTGAATGTTGTTACTTCCAGATCACTTACCCAGTTGCTGCCGTTAATGTGCTCAAAGCTCATGGAAAAAGTGCTCGCGAAACTATGTTAATCAAAGGATACGCTTTGAATTGCACTGTAGCAAGCCAAGGTAGGCCAGCATAATTATTGGAATGAGAGATGCTGATGAGTAATGTTTTCCAGCTATGCCACTTGTCGTTACTAACGCTAAAGTTGCGTGCCTTGATTTCTCTTTGCAAAAAGCCAAAATGCACCTTGGTATCTCTGTGATTGTCGAAGATCCGGAGAAGCTGGAAGCAATCCGAAGAGAGTACGTTTAGCGTTTATTGTAGTGAGCACTATTTATTCAAACTTTCTTACAGGGAGTACGATATTACAAAGCGACGCATCGAAAAGATTCTCAAAGCAGGTGCAAATGTGGTCTTGACAACTGGTGGTCAGTTTAGATCCATCTATATACGAATTCTTTATCTGCTGTTGTGCAAAAAGTTAGCTTTCAGGTATTGATGATTTGTGCTTGAAACAGTTCGTGGAGGCAGGTGCCATGGCTGTTCGCCGTTGTAAGAAAATGGACTTGAAGCGCATCGCGAAGGCTACTGGAGGTAAGAGAATTTCTTATAAAGTAAGTTTTGAAGATGAATTGCCTTTATCTTGCAGCAACCCTTGTTAGTTCGCTGGCCACGCTCGAAGGTGACGAGGCATTTGATGCTTCTCTTCTTGGTTATGCAGAAGAGGTGGTGCAAGAGCGCATCAGTGACGACGAATTGATTTTGGTGAAAGGGCCCAAAGCGCGTACTGCGAGCTCCATAATCCTGCGGTATAGATATCTTATCACTTTGTCTATATTATATCCTATCACCACATATCTCAGCGGTGCCAACGATGTTATGCTGGACGAAATGGAGCGTTCAGTGCATGATGCACTATGCGTAGTGCGACGAGTCCTAGAAAGTCGCCGCCTTGTTGTGGGTGGAGGAGCTGTTGAGGCGGCTTTGAATGTTTGGCTGGAAGCATTTGCTACGACCCTGGTTAGTTGATTTGCAAATTTCCTTTAAATGTGATAAGTTTATCCAATTAAGTCTTCTCGTGAGCAGCTTGCCGTTGCTGAATTTGCGCAAGCTCTATTGGTTATACCGAAGACCTTGTCAGCTAATGCCGCCAAAGATTCTACCGAGCTTGTTGCAAAGCTTCGAGCCTTCCACCATAAAGCTCAGACTAACGTGCAGTTACAGCATCTCAAATGGTTAGTCTATTGCTCAAAGTCACTATCTTTATTTGGAAGTTTATTCCTTATCTGGCGAAGAGACAGTATGCTATAAAAACCATTCACTCCATTTCATTTTGTCTTTCTTCACGTTGGGTTTAGATCAAGTTTTGCTTATGATGCTGCTAGGCCCGCGAGACTCGCAGTTTTAGTAGGGCATCTAAAACCGTTACTAAGAAGGTTTCGTGTTATCTTTCAGAGTGATACGGAAAATTTGCATTTGGAACAGAA